CACCAGGGAACATCCTTCCATATAGACTGTCTCCTGGGTCTCAGCTGGGGATTGAAACTATAAAAGGAGGAACAAACTCCCCAATGTACCCTTCTTTCCCCCTGCCCAGGGCCGGCTCCAGGGTTTTGGCCGGCCCAAGCAGCCAAAAAAAAAATAAATTAAAAAATAAAAGCTGCGATCGCGATCTGCAGCAACAATTCGACAGGAGGTCCTTTGCTCCCAGCGGGAGTGAGGGACCGTCCACCGAATTACCGCCGAATACCTGGACGTGCCGCCCCTCTCTGGAGCGGCCGCCCCAAGCACCTGCTTGCCAGGCTGGTGCCTGGAGCCGGCCCTGCCCCCGCCCATCGCATTCACCTCACCTGAAGAGGCAAAAACAGCAGCCATTGGATTCTTGGGGAAGGGGTCCTGACCTAAAGAGTCTGGTCAGTAAGATTGCTGAAAGCATGTGAGAAAACTTTGCTTTGAATCTAATGTAGTTTGTTAATTTAGGCATCAATAGGAGTTTTATCTTTATTTTTCTTGTAACCATTTCTGACTTTTATGCCTCATTTCTTGTACTCACTTAGTCATCTCTTTGTAGTTAATAAACTTGTATTATTGTTTTATCTAATCCAGTGTGTTCAAGTTGAAGTGTCTGGATATCTTCATTTGGGGTAACAAGTTGTGTGTATATTATTCCCTTAAAGGACTGATGGACATAATGTGTTTGAGCTCTCCAGGAGAGGGCTGGGAAGTACAGGACATACATTTCTGGAGGAAGATCCAGGACTGTGGATGGATTGGGGTCACCCTGCAGCATAACCAAGGCTGGTAAGAGCCAAGGTGTGGCTGGCTGTAGCATACACACAGACACAGCTGGAAGTGACTTACATGGGGAAGGCTGTTTCTGAGCAGACCAGGGTGGAGGCTACAACAGCAAGGCATTGTAGGCAGGGGTGACTCAGATACTTATTAGTCTGGATTGTACCCTGGTATGTCTCAATCCCTACTATGAGGTCCAATGACATGTCCAAAACAAAGCTTTCAGTTCTGATCTTAGTTAAATGGTGTATAGTTGTGTTTTCTAAATAGCTGTAGATGCAGAAGAATTACTGCATTTGTCTATACATGTGTACCTATTTAGAGACAGAATAAATAGCATTCATACATAGAGTGCTCATGTTCAAAAGCCCCAAAACACTTTAGGTCAGATACAAGTCCATAAGAATAGAGTTCCTAAAAGTCCCGCGGATTCCCATTTTTATAATACATAAACTGATCTAAGCAATGACTTAATACACGCACAAGGTAACATTTTATTTATCACCTATTTGAATTATATAGGTGTCATAAGAAAGTGCATAATGCAGATTTTGTGCATTATTTGTGTAGTTATTGAAGTTAACAATTCTGTGCACTCTTGCAACTGTAACCAATGCTCACTCAGTATTGCCCTCTGTCCCCCTCAAGTGCCTGGCCCTGAAAAATGTTAGCGTTTGCTACAGCCTTTGTGCTAATAAAGCTGGGTGTTTTAGTACAGACAGGAGAGGTTCATATTTTTGATCCTTGCTGTCAAACTACCAAAGGAGAGTGTGTTACAAAGAAAAAAGCACTAATTTTCCAAAAAATGGAAAAAGAAAATAGGCATTCATCAAATAGTTTGATTTCAGGAAGATGGGAAATTAGTGGAAAAAAAACAAACAAAAAATCCACAGCATCAGGGTCTCACAGGCTGATAGACAGCAGCCTCCTTTTTCTCCATTTGAAACATAATTTTGTCAATGTTTTTCTCTCTCTGTCATAGCACTTGTAAGAGAATTTAATTAAAAGGTACTGCAGATACCAATACTTGAAGCTAATGAGTCAAGATGAACTCCAATGGACAAAGAATTTTCCTCAGCCCACATTTCTTTTCCTAGAAACTCTCTTCCACATTACTTTTCTTTTTCTGTGCACAATATAAATCCAAACCCTACACACTTAGGAATTAAGATGTATTACTTGAATTTTTGCTTAAAATAGAAATTACCCTATAATTAGATAGCTGACTAGAGCTTATAAATGATAAAAGTCAAAAGGGTTATAGTATATAATTAGCATCATTGAGAATATACTAAAAAGATAGCACCCCCTCCCCCTTCTAGTAATGTACTTTTGGTACATTACTTGGTAATGTACTTTTAAATATGACTAGCTAAAAAGATCTTAAATTGGTACAGAATAGAGTTAGTTAAGAAATGTTCTGTACACCGAAGGAAGTTAATGAGTTTAAGTCCCAAACTCACATATCAGAGACAACCAATTATCGTGTCTGAAACACAGGCTTGTAAAACTATCAGTTACTTGTAAAATGGTCTGCTACACACGAGTAAGATGTTGTTTAAATGGCCTAATTGACTAGATGCATTCACCATGAAATTGATTCCTTTAAAGCATTATTTTTTGAACTTGATACAAGTTAACTGCATCAACTGAAAATGGGAAAAAAATCTGGCATTATAAAGTGTAGGTTTCAGGTATGAGTTCAGTTTTTTATGAGGTCGAGGGTTACTTGAATGAGAAACTCATCAAGTACAGACAGTCATGTCTAGGGCACTAACTGAAAAGGTTTAATACAATTAGACTATTCTACCATTTCTATGCCAAGATGTACGGTATAAGATCCAGTACTATTCCACCAGAGCCTGTGCAGCTGTAAAATAGCACAAAGGAGGTAAGCTACTGGATCAAACATCTTTTAGGTAAGAGAGAAAGATCAGAATAAACCTTAGAGGTCTTATTTTACTACAGCTAGTGAAGTAGCATCATATCAGTGATATTGTGTCTGACTCTTTGAATAAGATTATCATTTAAAGCTTTTTTAATAACTGAAATGTCCTTTTATTCACGTTTTAAATTTAACTTAAATTACAAATTACTAATTGGACAGGGTACCATATATGCATTCATATCTATTGACCTATGATCACTAAATAAACTAACATTTGCAGTTTAATTTTGTATGTTAAATTCAATGTGCTGGCTACTGAAAAACAGTACACAATTTACAAGGTGTCTAAATACTATCTCCACATTGCTATTAATTCACTGGAACTCCTTAAGCTAAAATAATTGACTTTGTATTAGTTTAATTCATCATTTTAAATTTACTTGTTCTTTGGAAATGTTCTAAGGAAACATTTCTGATTGTCTATAAAAAAAGGAAACTACGTAGTTTAGAGGGTCGATAAAGCAGGGGTAATAATTTGAAAAAATAATAAATGAATAAAACAAATGTGTTTTATACATTGGCCCAGAGGTACTGGAGTAGCATATTGTGCTATCAACTAAAATTCTGATTTGAGAGCAGATTCAAATTCTCAGGTTCCAAACGGAAGAAAGATTTGTATGTTGTGAACAGTATGCTCAGTACCCATCCAAGAGTGCTAGCCACATTGTTCTTATAAGACCAGATGTAGACAGAATCATAGAAATTACAGTGTCATCATCTTGTCCTTCAGCATACAGGCAATGTGCCACAGTGGAAGGAATCTGAAAGAGGAAGTCAGAGTCAAAGATTAAGGCCAGAAGGAACCACTAGATCATCCAGTCTGACCTCCTGCATCTCACAGGCCACCAACAGCACCCAGTAGTACCTGCACACTAAACCCAACCATCAAAAGGAGACCAAAATATTACAGCCCACAGAAGATGAGACTACTATGTGCCAGCGACAAAGAACAGTAGGGACCAAGGAGCACCAGCATTCAAGGCCCCTGCAATAGCAAGTGACCCACATGCTGCAGAGAAAGACAAAAAACCTCACGTCACTGCCAATTTGACTTGGGGGAAAGTTCCTTCCTGACGTCACATATTGCCATGACTTAGACCCTGGGCATGAGTGCAAGAACCAGCTCCAAGCACCTGAGAGAGAGAATGTTCAATACCACGTCAGAGCACTGGCCCTCTGCCCAATGCCTCATCTCAAGCCATGGCCATCCCTGATGCTTCAGAGAAAGGAGATTAAAGAAAGCCTTCCAGAATACAGTGTGTGTGTGGGAAAATCCTTCCTGACTCCATTATTCCAGATGCAGTCCTACTAGTGCCTTGTTCGGTGGCATTCATAATTTTCTCTCTCTACTGGAAGTGCCTTGTCTAGTACATTCTATGATTGCATTTGCCTTTTTCACACTACAACACATTGGAGGCTCAGGGTCATCCTGTGATCAACCCACACACCCAAGTCTCTCTCCTTTGTTGCTTCCAACTGATGAATCCCCAGCTTGCAGCAGAAATTTTTCTTATTAGACCACAAGTGCAGGATCTTGCATTTTGTACTATTGAATCTCAGCCCATTTCTGTCATTCTAATCTTCCAGGTCATCTTCCTGTATAATATTCTGATCCTCCTCTGTATTTATGATGCCTTACAACTTTGTATCATTAGCAAATTTGATTAGCACACTCCTACTTTTTGTGCAAAGGTAACTAATAAAAAAATATTGTAAAGAGATCAACAAGGAAATGGGTTTAGCTGACTTCAAGGTATTGAAACAGTGTTTCTAAGCATCTTGGAACTGGCTTTGCATTAAAAGATAAAAGTAATAGCAATTTTAAAAAAAGTACATCAGAAGCAAAATGCCTGCTAAACAACCAGTGGGGGACACTGGACGATCGAGATGCTAAAGGAGCACTCAAGGACGATAAGGCCATTGCGGAGAAACTAAATTAATTCTTTGCATCGGTGTTCAGGACTGAGGATGTGAGGGAAATTCCCAAACCTGAGACATTCTTTTTAGGTGACAAATCTGAGGAATTGTTGCAGACTGAGATGTTGTTAGAGGTGGTTTTGGAACAAATTGATAAACTAAACAGTAATAAGTCACCAGGACCAGATGGTATTCACCTGAGTTCTGAAGGAACTCAAATGTGAAATTGCAGAACTACTAACTGTAGTTTGTAATCTATCATTTAAATCAGCTTCTGTACCAAATGACTGGAGGATAGCTAATGTGACACCAATTTTTAAAAAGGGCTCCAGTGGTGATCCCGGCAATTACAGGCCAGTAAGCCAGACTTCAGTACCAGGCAAACTGGTTGAAACTATCGTAAAGATCAAAATTGTCAGAAACATAGATTAACAGAATTTGTTGGGGAAGAGTCAACTTGGTTTTTGTAAAGGGAGATCATGGCTGACCAATCTACTAGAATTCTTTGAGGGGGTCAACAAGCATGTGGACAAAGGAGATACAGTGGATATAGCGTACTTAGATTTTCAGAAAGTCTTCGACAAGGTCCCTCAAAGTAAGCGGTCATGGAATAAAAGGGAATATCCTCTCATGAATTGGCAACTGCTTAAAAGATAGGAAACAAAGGGTAGGAATAAATGGTCAGTCTTCGGAACGGAGAGTGGTAAATAGTGATGTCCTCCAGGGGTCTGTACTGGGACCAGTCCTATTCAACATACTCATAAATGATCAGGAAAAAGGGGTAAACAGTGTGGTGGCAAAATTTGCAGATGACACAAAACTACTCAAGTCCCAAGCAGACTGCAAAAAGCTACAAAAGGATCTCACAAAACTGGGTGACTGGGCAACAAAATGGCCGATGAAATTCAGTGCTGATAAATGGAAAGTAATGCACATTGGAAAACATAATTCCAACTATACAGCCTGAAGGTCTGCCAACTGAGAAGTAAAAGGCAGAGCACACTGAGCAGCAAAATACTGATATTTGCCTCAGGAAAAAACCAAAGAGTTCATTTCCTCTCTTGGTAAAAGTTAATTTAAAATGGATTAATTGTGGCATCCAGCAAAAGCAGGGTATCAAAATGATCAGCTGGGTTTAGGTTAAACGTAGACACACAGGATGAGCAAGTGCAACTGGGTCTTCTTAAGCAAGGTTCCTACCACTGACTACCACAGTGGTTTGTAGCATGACTGGGTCTTCATCTTTAAATCTGTGCTTGAATGAAGCAGGCCTATTTATTTTATACAGTAATATATGCAACAAAATAACCCTTCTGCTATAAATTACATATTTCATTAAACCTTATATAATAGAGCTAATGAAATTATTTTTTTCTGTTCCTTTATTGGATGACATTTAAAACAGGATAGTAATGTTTGCTTAGCTATCTGTTCAACAACTCAAACTCCTGTTTGCGCAAATACCCTTGTTCACATAAGTTCCTTTGTTCTCTCTGTTCCTATCACTATCACAACTTGGAAAAAATGATAATTTCATTGTCAATTAAGAAACTTTTTAGTATATGTTGTAAGAGTCCAGTGAGATGTATGACTGTCATAGCTCTATTGTATACTTCAGCTAAATTTAGGCTTGGTCTACACTACCCCCCTAATTCGAACTAAGGTACGC